TTGATATTAGTTTGTAAAGATTCAGTTATTTTAACATTAAACTAATTACTTTATTTTTGGTGGTTTTAAACTTATGAATATTTGTTTAGTATTTGTCGTACATGTATAACATGTACTTTATAATCTTCTATTCACTATTATTTAGTATTTGTTAACTAGTTTAGTGGTTAAACATTATTAAAATGTTATTTTATATTCACAGTTATGCATACTTCAGCAAGCCTTGCCCTCAATGAGGTAGGTTTTGTATTCATTATTATTTAAAGTATTGTTTAAGTGATATTTTGTAAAAATGAAGTTTAACAATGCATGTTTTTGTATAATTTGTCAAAATAAAGTGATCAAATCATGGATGTGGAAATTTAGAATTACATAATTAAAAATTTCAAACCATCTACCACATTTAATACAAAGCTTTTTTACATGAGGAACTGCATGTGTTAAATTATTCCAAATTTGTTATAGATTTGGTTATGAATGCATTTGCCACAGTTCTGTGATTGTTAGAAAAAGTATAATTTTCACCTTCTTTAGGGTGTAGGTATATTAATACAGCTTTATAATTTGTACAAAGTTAACATGCAAAGTTTGGTTACTTTCATCGTCTGATGTAGTTCTACAGTATGTTTTTTACATGTCTTCCTTGAGATTAAAACATATAAACATAATGGTTCTATGTTGTTTACTTTAATTCATCAAACAACACCTTAGTATAAGCCCACAGAAAAGTTTTAGGTAAGTAAGTGGGGTTTCTAGTGTAAACATGGTAATAGTGAACTCGTGTAGAAGATTGTTTATAAATTGAGGCTGGTCATACTTGGAGCTTAAGAGGAGACTAGATAATGATGGGGTTAAATTTTTACTTTTTTCAAACATGATGTACAAGAACAACCTTGAAGGACCAATTGATTCTTTGTTTTTTGTATGACTTGCTTTTATATTATATGTGTATTTGAGCGTGCACAGTATCAGATGGTTGTCGTAATTAGGTACTAAAACAATACAACCGATATACTTACCGTACAATTAGGTACTAAAACAACGTAAGTATATCGGTTGTCATACAGTTAGGTACTAGAACAATGTAAGTATATCGGTTGTCGTACAGTTAGGTACTAGAACAATGTAAGTATATCGGTTGTCGTACAATTAGGTACTAAAACAAT